TAGGGACTTTAAGCAGTCAGGACGGCAACGCCACGGAAGACGTCGATTAAAAAATGAGTTTCTACTTTTAGTTAGAATTTCGAAAATGGCTGCATGTGTTTACCGTCTCATAGGGCGCCAGACCTCAAACTCAACATAACGCATAAAAGTAGCGTTGAGTTCCAAATGTAAATTAAAATAATTTGCCGCCGCGGTTTCGCTTCGCAGACTACGCAAATTTGGGTGATTTCACGTTGTTGTTTTGAAAGGACGGCTAAGAAATGTACAAAGTTTTAAAATGCATGTGCTGGGCTATTGTTTTGCCAATTAGATCTATTGTTTTTCCACGTTCTCGTTGCCGTAGCCGTCGTGGTTTGCTTAAAGTCCCTAATGACGCTATCCGCATTGCTGATCCTAACAGTATGCAGGGCGCGGGTCAAACATCAACCTGGCAAAGCGTAACGGCCTCGCTTACCACAGACAGTCTTTATAGCTCGGTGGTTGAGCGTCGGAGCGCGGAATCAGCACGTCTGAGGTTTGATTCCTCAGATTTTTTCCGCAGTCCCACGCTCGTGACGAGACGAAAACATCTTTCTGTAAGAACTGAACGAGTACAGAGAGTTGAAATACTTACAGTGAGCTGCGACGAAACCTTGCATGTGACATGATAGAAGATGACATCTTCACCCGCAATAATGTACGATACTCCATAACCGTCATCAGCGACCTGATAAGAAATAAGAAAACTTTTCATCCGTGGTGATATTCTATTCGTTATTCGGTAATGACCAGTGAAGTTAACATGAAACTTTACAAACAAACAACAGTGAAACTGTTGAACGAGATAGGGTTTGTAAGGCTAGCGTGCAATTTCAGATTTAACAACCCTTTCAAAAGAATATGAAAGAGAATAATATAAGTAAACAAATAAGAATACGTAGTAAACAGATTGCGACAGCTATACCTAAAAAAAAAACCCACTCTACAGAGCCTTTGATATAGTGTGCAAACTCCTCTAACAATTTTATAGGAAAATTCATTACTTGACAAGGGAATTCCGCATTAAATTTCAGGCGAAAACCGATATCGGTTTTCAAGTGCAATTTAATGCAGAATTCACGGGTGAAGCAATGGATTTTCCTTGAATCGCATAGCTGAATAAAAATGAGTAAAAAAAGGAAACAGCACTACTTAAAATTGTTATGCTTACGTAGATGCGAAACAATTTCACTTAGCCTCGTTTTCAACTCGCAATTCCACGCTAAATACCTTGCTTCGTTAGCCAATCAGAATGCGAGATTTTATTCAATGATGCGAATCTAAAACAAAGTCAAGAAGAGAGGCATTTGCAAGGAGGATTTAGGACCTTAACATTAACAAGAAGTCATTTTATCATCATGCCTGCTTAACTGATGGTGGGAATTTGGCAATTTTTTCACTTTTAAATCCTATTTTTATATTTACTTCAGTCTACCTTGAAAGTATTTTTTGCTGACTTTACTGATTATTTATTTCTACTTATTTAGTAATTTTACACGTAGTTCCATTTACTCATTTAGGAGTTGTTTGTCTACCAACCAGGACATGTGGCTCTGATATAGAACCAAATTCTTAATTCTAGCCAACAAAGTAATGCATGATTTCTCGGGAGAGGAAAGCTTAAGGACTTAGAAAGTTATCTTACAGGTCCAAACCCTCCTCCTGCCGTTTTCATTCCTGGATACTTGTCGTAGTCTCCTCTTTTTGTTTGCTGGGTTGCAGTCTGAAATGATTAAGAGCTATTTCAATGCGAATACAGGGCACATAAACATATAACCGACAGAACAAGTAACGTTTCGTTCGCTCTCCTACATGCAGAACGAAGAGGAGGCGAGTTAACGGTTAGCAACCGGGGTAAATCTTTAACCCAAAATCTAATAAGCCTTTTCTTCGTACTAACGCTTGTTCTGGATGGCCTATGTCAAGTTCTTGTTAATGGAGACAAACGAATGAGAGAATAAATCCTCCCTCGTTCTTTGCCATCACTCGTCTCCCTTTTTCGCGCACTCCAACAAACTGACTGTCTAAAACGGGTTAGCTCTGGAAACCAAGCAATCACACACACCGCGCTTCACCATGCTCCAACTGAGATTTCAATACATACAGCTGCACTTACCTGGCTTGTAGACAGCTTCCATGGTTCTTTGAGAGCCTACAGGAGAAGACAATTACAGAAATAACTGTGAATTTCCACCCAGTGAACAAAGCGCATTTTGATTGAGCACCATAAAACTAAAACTAATGTACTACGGCCACTCAGAACAAAGGAAAGTGTCAAGGGAACAAATGAGAATTCAAATAAAAATAGGCACGAGAAAATGAAATTACTCTAAGATTTGCTTTTCTTTTGATCGGGATGGTGGCACAAATTTAGTACGAAAAGCAGTTAACTAACTTACATAAGTCAATTTTTTTTCGAAACTCAACAATCCGTCTTGAGCCTTCTTAAAAAAGAATCGAAGAAACCAACCTCCTTCAGAAATAGTGAGTCCTCTTCTAAGTACTTGGACACAACATACAAGCCAAATAAATGACGGTCGACACCTATTGAGAACAAAACTTTATTAATAAAACATTTTACACTGATTTGAAGCTCTTTGCATACAGATTCGTTTGCTCATGTTATTACGCAGCGGGAAGGCGTCTGGCTTCCCGCTAGCATCAAAATGATGGTGACAATCTTGTGATAATGATTCCCAGTTGCCTTCGTTAGTGTACAATGCCGTTACAAACCTCGGAAGAAAATGTGAAATGTTAACCTGGTTCAATGTTTCATCATAAACTTTTGGACCACATAGCTAGTTCTCATAGTTTACACCCTGCAAAGAAAAATCTTAACTTTTTTTTTTTACCTTCTCCAGACATCGCCTTTTTGAAACCATCGACATGAAGTTCCGCAGCTTTTTCAAGGAGCTCTTTCCTCTCAGAATTCTGTGACAAATGAGAAGCACATATCACCTGTCAGTGTTTGTATCCCAGGCTGATTAATTAAGAATTAAGATCATTTGCAATATGAAATCGAGTTCAGAAAGCCCACTGGAACATAGGACATACATCTAAAACCAGCTCACGGGCCATAAGATTCATTCTGCCAGAGTCTATCCCAATTGCACTGACATGTCGCAAAATTGTACGACTCTAATTCCTCCTTGTCAAGTAGTTAACTTAAGAAAATATGGATTTAGATCATGATAACATCATCGGGCGGATTAGCGTGTTCATTTTCATCACCAGTCTGCTGGTCAATGTATGGAAAGTGCGAGGAAAAGTTAGATGTTGGCCGGTGCATGAAACCTCTGGGACTAACTATTAGGTACAGGTATCAGATCAAGAACTGTGGAAAATTTTAAGAAACTAAATTGGATCCCATTCTATGATGAAGTCGAGATAAGAAAGTGCGTGTTAATCTATAAGGCACTGCATGGGGAATCCCCTACGTATATTGAAAGTACTTTAACTGCAAATCACTCCCTGCATGGTACAGAGACCAGGCATGGCCAGTATAACCTAATCTGTCCCAAGTATCGCAATACTACTGAGGCAGGAAGGTCCTTCCAAGTTAGTAGTATTAAGTTATGGAATAGTCTTCCAAATGAGCATAGGAAACAACGTAGCATCTCCTCTCTTAGGAATGATCTGATGAATTATTTCATAAATTCTTACAGAGACATTGATTCTTTTGAAGCTGTATTATAATCTAGTTTTATTGTATTTATAATCTTTGAATAGTTACATTATTCGACTAGTTAGTTCTATTTTTAATCTCTATGGCTTAGAATGTATTACTAACTTTAGTTTTGAGGGCCACTGGTTTATCAGCGCAAGCTGTTATGTGTATACCCTCTTTAAATAAAGTCGATTCATTCATTCATTCATTCAACAATGAAAGAACAAAGACACTCACCGTGGAAGAAGGGTCTAGCATTGCCTTAACAAAAGCACATGACTCAGTGGTGCAAGGTCTGACTGTTTCAGTGCGACCCTCTCTGAAAGAAACAAAGGATCACATCGGTAAAACTTGGGGAGGGGGATGGGCTGAGAATTAGTTACCTGAACTAGCCATGCTGGCTCTCGCTGTAAAAACTAAAGATCGGAAAACCAAAGGACTCTCAAAGAACGAATTTTGAGTGAGTGACCTAAAACCAAAGTAATATGAAAATCGTAGAGAGCCAATGAAAGCTCAAAGTGCGTAACAGAAATCATACGCACGGCGGGCAAAATGTGAGTGACAAGTGGCGATTGGTTTTAGCTTGTATTACTAATGCCTGGATTTCACTAGCGACGCAAGCACAAGCACAAGCACGACAGCTCATACTACACGGCCTCGACGCAAGCGCAAACACAAGCGCAAACACAATTACAAGGATGAGAATTTGTCCTTTTTTCTTGTGCCGGTGCTTGTGTTTGTCGACGTTCGTTTCCACTTTGGTATATTTACCTCATGCGTGCGTTTGTACTCGCGCTTGCGCTTGCGTCACTGGTGAAAACCACGCTTGAAAGTAAAAGCCCAGTGAAGGAAATGATCTCGTACCTGAAAAGTCTTGTCATGGATGACTCATAAGTTAGACTGAAAGATTGTTGATCCTGAAAACAATGAAGCATTGGCATCCCATGGTAAATGCACGTACCTCTAACATGCAGAACTTCCTCTCTAATTTTGCTTAACCCACTGACCCCTGAGTAACGATCGACTGGCTTCTAATTTCTCCTTCTAGTTTCACCCTTGATCAAATGTAAAGGTCATGATCATAAAGGAACTGAGAACCAATTTAAGAAGCTCCTGATTGCAAAACAGATTTCCCTCGTCAGAAACACAGGAAGTGTACTGAATGAGACAAGTGTGGAGAATTCGAATATCACAGTTAAAGCAATTCTGGTATGTTCAAGCTTGTATTGGTACTTTTCCTGCTCCACTTTAGAATGTCCTTTTTTCACTTAAAAGAATAACTTTAGGGACAGTGTCCACAAAATCCATTCTTATCGATAATGTTCCCTAGGAACCCGATATTTAATTGCCACAGACTACAAGCTTTACCTCCACTAAATTCGTATGAAAATAGAATGAAAGAAAGCCACGTCTAACGAAAACAAACCTTGAAGTAGGCCAGCTGAAGACCCATCTGAATAAAAGCATCTGGGCTGTGGAAAAGGATTAGAGAAGAGGTGAAATTTTTGGCCTCATGAAAGCATTCCTTCGTTAAGTATTAATGTTGCAACTTTTAATAAACAATCGTTTTGAGACATCTCTTGACTGTGAAATCTCTTTGAAACATGAAACATTAAACCTAATAAATTCAATCCACTTTGTGCCTTGATCATGGACGCTACAAAACTATCTCCATGGGGCCAAAATTCACTCAAACATTCTCTTAGTTCTCAATGGCGCGAATCAAATTATTGCTGCAATTTGCTCTTGCAACAAGTAGCAGCAACTTGTATTATGATATCTTGACCCTAAATACAAGCAGCCATTCCTTTAGTGCTATGCAATCTACGATTTTCAGCAATTGCAGGTGAGTGAGGGTTTTTTTTTTTTGTTACATGCTGCACCTTTGCTCGTCAAAACGTCAAAGGTAAATGCAAGGGTAATAAAAAATAATTGCAATACGAACAGCATATTAGTACCTTAATTTGCACTTTTTAATGGCACCTTTTCCTAAAATAAAATTGCAAAACGTTAGTGAGTAAACCTTTCCGTTCTTAGTCACTTTCTGCTTTATTTGTAACAAAAGCTATACAATTTCTAATGAAACAATTGATAACCAAGCACCTATTTTTAAATGAGAGGGGATTAAGAAATGGTTGTGTCCAAGAAAGACTGGATAACATAGACGATTCAGAAAAGCTGACGTACTTCAAGTGCTGGCAATTTCTCAGAGTAAAGAGCTGTAAACAACATCTTTCTCAAAGTTGATAATGAGCCAAGTGTTGAAGATAATTTTGCATACTACAGAAAACAGTTCAAACAGTGTACAGCAGTTTTTTTTTTTAAATCTTTAAACCTGAGGATGTGATAAGTAATTCTCTCCTCTCACTGCCATTCCTTTTTTGGTATATTTGTTGGGAGAATTCAGTCTCATATCGCAGTCACTGCCCTCAAGCTGATAAATTTGTATATTCTTGTCATCCGTTTGATGTATTGAAAATAATTGTGAGGAGAATGTTACATTCACTTTCTTCTGGGAGTGAAAGGGTTTTGTGTCTTATTCAAGAACACAAGATGAACTTTGATTTAGGACACCTTGATTTATATCTAAAGACAGTAACCACTATGCATTATTATTGTATTTCGAAATAATTTGACTTGAGTATCGTCTTACCAAAAGCAGTGTACACAAGCACATGGAGGTCGAGGTCATTGATCAACTTTTCTGCATTCTCCTGGCAAGTCTCGATGATTGAAACACACTGAGTAGAAGAAATGTTTTTTCAGTCATCATTTATTGTGGTCAGTAATGGTAGATGAAACAACGTCTTATTTTTCTTGACCAAAACTAACCATGTGTATAGAAAGCTGTACTCAGCAAACAACAGAATATGAAAAAGAGGCTCAGAACAGCAGCTGTAGCACAATTTCCAGCAATCCTTGCTTCAAATTTATTGGAATCCTTATAATACCTTTTCTTTCTATTGCAAACTGACTTCTAAGCACCAATTAGTAGTCTAACATATTGTTCTCAAAGTTTCATAACTAATCAGGGCCACCTTTTAACTTTTATGCTCTGTTAGTGATCAGCAATTAACTTCTTACAACAATAAAAATGGTTTAACTGTGCTAATGAGCAACGTTATTTTTATACACTGCCAACTATACACTAGTGAAGTGAAAAAACAAAAATGGTCAACTAAGGGATTGATAGAGCCTGAATTTTACACAACAATGTGATGACTAATCCACAAACAAGCAACTATTCATAATTAGAGCATTTTACTCTGAAAAAGATAAACCATGTGATTTGTGAAAACTTGAGAGCAAAACTTGTTGAGGTTTCCCAGCATTTCACCCCTCAGTGTAAACAGTTTTAGAAATAAAAATGCAGTGCCACACCTTTTCAGGGATGTCCCACTTGAGCCTTACAGGTGGGGGAAGGTCAAACTCTGGCTCACCATTGCAGTGACCATCTTCCTTGTATCTAAAGACAGTTGTAAGAGTTAAAGACTATGGAGTGCAACATGCTTTGTTATAAAATTGTTGACTACAATCTCTCTTCTTCAAGTAAACTGCAATTAAACCACTGTCAGCTCATACAGATTAAGTAAGCTGGTTCAAAAAACAAAAAGGAAATGTACACAAAGCACACCATGCTGAATTGGATTGCATAATCACAAAGTTGTTCATGATTTTTTGACGTTAGAATGAAAACAACTGACACCATAACTTTCTAGGAAACGACAAAAACAGTTTGCAGCTTCATAACCATACAGTACTAGAATTGATTTGATAACTTACCCCATAACTTGGATGTCTTCTATCATAAGACTCTCCCCAAAATGAGACATGATTGGAGCATCTGCCCTAAAAATGGATAGAAAAATTAATTTGAAATTTAACATTTGCCTATTTTCATAACAATTTATTTTAACTCAACTCTAAAACTTGCATAATAATTTTTGTGAGCACTGTTGTTAATGTGGTTAATGGAATTGAATTTAACATGGTAACATCTATAGGAACAAATCTGGTCAGTAGTATTTTGTAGGCATTCTGTTAGCATCTTAACTTTCTGTTAGCATTTGTGTTGGTCATGTGGTTGTTGGAGTCCAGGGGCTTTCCTTGTCCAGTGATTCTTTATTAGTATATATGTTATTTTTTCTATATTTGCATTGTGTTCGCTGTTCTATAGCGTGGTCTTGCTGTCCTTGAGGATTGCAGTTCTCATCCCTCCCAGGGTTTCTTGTCCTTGTCTGTTTATTTATTCATTCATTTTTTTTCCCCTTCTATTGAGCCATCTGGCTCTTGTGTGACAATTGCTTGTCAGGGGCTTGGTGCAGGGGATTTCTGACCGCATTGCAGGTTGGGAAGGCCAGTCCCTGGTGTTCTAGCACCATCTGATGTGACTTCCATTACCGCCCCTTAGCCACTCAGGCACCCACCCTTTATTTCTGACTTGAACCTTAAGAAGCACAAGCAGAATACCTTCAGTTACTGTAACAAACCGTTTCATGGACTGAAATATCCCTGAATCAACCCTTAACTTTCAATCTCACCAGGTTTGAATTATTTTGTTATGTTCATTTCATTTGATACTTTTTTCAAAATAATTATTGGCCAGGAGTGGGGAAGAGCAATTCTAAATGTTGCCAGAATACATGTATATCTGTACATTTGCAAAAATTGTTAAAACAATATGACATACTAAAAAGTTTTCATACCATGAGTGCTCTGCACAAAGGCCAAACTGCAACAAAATGAAGAAACAAAATTCCTTTAAAGCCTGGCTTCAAACTCACCCAACATCAATCCACGCTGTCTCATAATTGTAAGTCCTCAAAATGAAAAGTTACAATTAAACAACAGTAGCAGAATGATGCAAATGTTAAAACTACATTACCCAGTGAAGTTAATTTTTCTTATCTGGATGAACATGTATGATGTTTGCCTTCCTGTCCCCCCCCTTTATCTGATGAGGAGTATTCTTTATCTAACCTTGTGGCTGTATTCAAACAATATGTGGGAGGAGGGGTCCTCTTGATTTAATGAAAAATTTTAAATTCAGACTGAGGACATTGTTACCAAAAAAAATTCTCTTCAGTTCAAGTTCAACACTTTCTGCCACTGATAGTGCTTAAGTTAAAAAATGGAATGTAAAGTATGAGCTACACTTTTCAGTTATGGTCATCTCCAATTTGGCTCTTACCCTGCCATTCTTGAAGACATAGCTGGAGAATGACTTATCAAACCAGCAACTGTGGCCATTGCCATGGAGCAGATATCGACAGAGAGAATCCATGTCTTCAGAATCTTCCTATTGTTAAAAAAATAGATGAGCAGTTAAATGGTAATTACTAAACCTTAATCATAAAAAATTAGCACTCATTTTTTTCAACAAGCCCCTTATAAAGAATACATCAATTCTACTTACTTCAATTTATTCTAAACATTCAAAATATTATGCTCTTACTTCTCCATAATTCATTGACAAATCCTCCAGACTCAAGAAAACTGCAGCCTGAAAAATTTCATTAGAACAGGAAAATAAATAACATAGATTTCTTCGCACAAATTACTGAGTGATGCAAAATGAAGACTGTTGGGAAAACCTGACAAAAAAACCTATGACAAAAATTCATTTTAATAGTCTCTGTCTTAATTTAATTTAGTAATAAATTCTTAAATAGTGCATTAACATTGAACTCTATGCGCTTTACAATTACAATTAACAAAATTTCAATAAAAATCCTATGCATGCAATTATCGTTACTCTATCTAAACTAACGAATTATTACGTGTTATACATAAATTTGACAACGTACGATATCAAAAAATCTGGTGGCTTAATTTTTGAAAAGATAAGTTTTCAATAAGCGTTTAAAGGAGTCAACAGATTCGGCGTTTTTTATGCATTCAGGTAGTTGATTCCACAAATACGGTGCAGCGTAGGAGAATGCTCTTTGCCCATACGTTTTAGTTCGAATTGTTGGGACCTCAAGTAGATTCATATTTGATGAATGGAGGTTTCGTGCTGGAATATAATAACTAAGAAGTTCAACAAGATAGGTTGGAGCCATGTCATTTAGTGCTTTGTATGTTATCAACAGTATCTTGAATTGAATTCGTTTGGTGACCGGGAGCCAATGAAGTTTCATAAGTATAGGTGTTGTACTGTCTCTTGATTTAGCACCGACTAACAAGCGGGCAGCTGTGTTTTGGATCCGCTGGAGTTTTTCTATGTCACAAATCGGTAGACTGTACAATAGGCTATTACAGTAATCAAGTCTCGATGAGATGAAGGTGTGTATCAATCTTTCATTTTGCTGCGTCAAGAGGTATTTACAAACACGACCAATATTTCTGATTGCTAGAGACGACGATTTACAGATGGAATTTATATGCGAGCGTAAGTTCATCACAGAATCAAGCATGACACCCAGGTCTCTGACAGTATTAAATAAATTAAATTGATTTTGATCTACAGCTCTTAGGATGCCATTTGAGACTTTTAGTAAAGCAGTTTCAGTGGAGTAGTATTTGCGGTATACTGACTGTATCGTTGGAAATAACTGGTTCTCGGCCATATATTTGTATATTTGATTTGCGACCACCCTTTCGATTGTTTCGAGAGAAGAGATAGATTTGCAATCGGTCTGTAATTTGATTTAATTTGAATGGAAACCTCCAAAAAAAACAAAAAAAACAAAAAAAACAAAACAATAACAACAACAACAACTACTACAACAACTACAACAAACAAACAAAACTCAATTTATGGTACTGTCAGAAGCTTAACAGGTAACTGTACGCGCTTGAGCCATATTAGCCTACCACTACCTTTTCTACTTCCCCTTTTCAAACACACCATGGACAAAATGATTAAGGGTAGTGCAAGAAAGAAAATAAGTCTGAGCTTGATTGAACTTAAAAAAAAGTAATTGAAATATTTGCCATGAAAACTGGTTGAGAAAGGTAGTTTAAAACCTTAAAGGGAGACCCAAGTTTTCATTTTCTCGTATCCTTCTTACTTTTTCTTCAAAACTGAACCCAAAGTGTTCCAATCGTTTCTAACTCTATTTCAACATTCTATTTCATTTTGATATTCTTTTGACAATTCTCACAGCATGCAAGGCATGCATCACATCTAATTTATAAACCTTTAACCTTCTGAACTAGCTGAGATTTACATTTTCTTTTTGCAACTTGAATGTGACAAATGGTTTCAAACATCTTTCATAGCTTCTATGCACTTACATCCTCTATACAGCCCAGAGACTCTCTATTGACACCTTTGCTGAAGTAAGTACTTCTTGTCTCAGCCCATAGATTTCTGCAACATTCCAAAAGAGGTTGCGGCAAATTGTTAATGTTGTATGTTAATGTTATTTCCAATGAAATGACATTATAAGTAAATTACAAGACTGTTTTGTTAACAAATTTATTCTGTTATCATTATACCTTTCAGCACTTGTTAAAGCAGGTAGAAGTTCTTCCCCTGGTGCTGGCTTTGAATCATCTTCCAGGATCCTTACAATTTGTCTAATAAACAAAAATTATGGAATTAATTGTGACAAAAAGTTTGCTTGTGCAATCAACAGTGGGTTTTGATTGGCTTAGCCATTAAATAATATATATGCTTTATTGACCAAATGTGAGGTCAAGATGACTGGATATTGGCTGAGTTCTTTTTTTTGCATTTTTATGCATCAGGAACATTTTTTGATACACAGTTGTTTGGATCAATGACATTCAGAAATGTGCCATGGTAGACATGGCATAGTTTTGTTTTTGAGAACTTAATTACCCAAGTCCTATGTTTTAAAGAGAAATTATAAGATCCTAGCAGCCTGTGTTTTGGTAAAACAAGGGTCTTGTGACAACCCAGGTAGTCCTCTTAAAACACCTTAGTTTGTCATTTGACCTATTTTCTAAAAAGCTGTTAAATATATAATATAGATTGTCATACTTTTCCAGATCAGCAGCCTTCAACAACTGTCCACGATGAAAGACCTCAAGTCTAAAAAATCTTCCCCGATGATAGATAACAGTATGGGATGTTGATCCATGGTGATGGAGGTGATCTAAAAACAATAATACCACAAAATACGATAGTGCTGTCAGGAGATTTATTACGATCTGATCATAGTGGTTCCTTAACAAGGACAAGTCATTGTGAGAAGGGGATATCTTTACTTTTGCCAACAGTGAATCACACCAAGAGAATAAATGAGACTTAATCCCAGATGACAATTATTGGCAAACATTATTGTAGCATAGGATGAAGATGATGAAATAGCACTTTGATACTGTTAATGGTAGCAATGTAAAGAGGCATGTGATAGAGGAAAAAGATTACCAGGACCAACAGAAACTAAATTGTTACACTCACCTTGTTCTTTCAGTGGGATCCTAGTTGTATTAAATGTTTTCCTGAACTGTTCTGAACAAAGTGGAATTAAACCCATTGCAAATTGCTGCAAATGAAACCATATAAAGATTATGAACTAAATGTATGAATGTACTTTACAAACTATTATTATAATAACAGTTCTTGTATCACCAAGAGAGGGTTGAGGGCCTTGGAAGTATGAGAGCCTCCCCTACTGCCAAATAGTTATTAAATATTTTTAAATTTAATTACAAATCCTAGCAACCACTAGAGAGTCCTCTATGGCAGGCCGTTTGTAGCAATATTCAAAAATTCTTTCATTCAACCATTCAACACCCCCATTCAACCATTCAAGAATCTATTCAACTATTCAACCCTGCATTCAACCATTCAATCCTGCATTCAGACCTGATGGTTGCAGGACTGAGTAACCTGGCACAATTACACGAAAGACATCCTAAGACGTCTGTTATGTTAACTTGGAAATATTGTACACAGTAAACATTCCTTCAATTGACATTTATAGCAATGTAACGTATTTCTTCAGACAGGTTCAATAAAAGAATTAAATCAAAATCGAATTGAAAAGACCGAAAAATTTCGTTGGCTAGAGATACACACTAAGATGGGTTGCCTGTGGTTTCCCAAAGTTCTTTGCAGAAGTTCCTCAAGTGTTTCAGAAGATAAGTTGTATGATGGCCTCCCGGGTGAAGATAGATAAATTTGCTTATCTGTTTGAGCCCAAGTTAGCGACAGTTGATGTGGTAATGGAAGCTACCACATCTATACTGGAACCAAGAAATGGTTCCAGCCTTGTAAAATATCATCAAAAGCAGACGTAAATTTATGCAACACTGTGTTTTCTCATTATCTTCAAACTGGAAACAATCTTCCAGCTTTCTTAACAAGGAGACTGTTTTGTCAAGTGTTAAGGCATGCTTTTCCAATGGTTCTACCTCGAAAGGAATCTTACATAACTGAGTCGTCTAGTTAGGATGTGGTTTAAAAAACTAGGTATTCAATTCTGTTAGCTCAAATTGCTGTGCATTTGCCGCCATCTTGCATTCTACGATAAGTTAGGATTCAGGCTCCAGCTCGGCCATCTTTCGTGCCAGGTTCCCCAGTCTGCCAGTTGAATGGTTGAATGTGGGATTAAATGGTTGAATGCTTGATTGAATGAAAACAAGTAGCCATTTAACTACAATAACAGGCTGGAGAAAGAAAAGGGAAGTTAAAAGGGTAACAGCTTCGTTAAAACTGCTCAGTAACATCATTAGCAACTCAGGACTCTATTCATGGTCAAATCACTGTAAATGGAATCTCTTGTTAGTGACCACCTCTCAAAAGTGACCACCTCTCATAGGCCACCACTTTTAGAGATGATTGTTTACAATCAGGAAGTAGATCATTAATGTTTCTTATGCAGCTGCTGAGCTTTTTAATGACTTACCAAATCATGTAAAGAATTCTGAATCAATAAGGAGTTTTACTTCAAACTATTGGTTTGCAAAATGATTGTA